GAGGGGCGCCGCCGGGCGCGCGGGGAGCTGGAGGAGGAGAAACTCCGGGTGGAGCGGCTCAAGGTTGGGGCGAGCGGGGGGCTTCCCAGCCTGGAAAATGAAGTGGGGTGTCTGTGGGATGCAAGGAGCCTCCGTCCAATGGGGGGGGCGGGCCATGGGGGGGTGTCGGTCCCAGCTTGAAGAGGGCGGCGTGGAGTGGTGATGGGGACATTGGTTCCACCCTGGGAGGAGTCTGGGGACAGCGGAGGTGACCCCAATTTGGGGGAGATGAGAGGAGCCTTGGTCCAGCCAGTGGGAAGGAACATTGAGTTCACCTTTGGAAGCGCCCAGTTCCATTCTGGAAGGGCTTCGTGGAGGAGGGCGTGGCTGTCGGCGCCTGGTAAGGTGGAGGGGGATGAAGCCTGTGTGTTCTGGCCCGGCAGGCTGGCCATGGGGTGTTAGTCCCGCCTGGCAATGTTGGGGGTGGGGGACAATGTAGACAAATAACCCAGCCTGGGTAGGTATGGAGCATTAAGAAATCTGGGCTGGTTCCGTGGTGATTAGAGCAGCTGGATCCCACATGGCCACACCAGGAGTTCGAATCCCGGACCCAGCAGTTTAGGATACGCGCCTGGCGCATCTGTGTGTATATCCAAAATCCCAACAGCAGAGAGATGGAGAAGGGATTGGGGTCCTTTCTTCTCTAACTCTCTCCCTGTCTCTCTGACAAGAGCACACGCCCCCTAGAAAAAAAAAAAAAAAACGAAGAAATTTGCCCAGGCGCCAGCAGATGCCCCCCACATGGCTGACTGCGGTTCGAGTCGCGGACCTGGTGGCTTAAAACACGCCGCGTGCCTGTGCGTGCGTGCCCAAGATCCCAGGAGGAGGAATTGCTGCATGGCCATCCCCCCATGGGGGGCAATTTCCCACTTTCTCTCTCACTGTCTCTCTCTCTCTCTGTCTCTCTCTGGTGAGCGCACAGGCCCTATAGCAAAAAAAAAAAAAATCTCTTAAAGAGCTGGAAGATGATGTGATGGTTAAAGGTGCTGGATTCTCACATGACCAATGGTGGTTTGAGTCCCGGACCTGGCAGCTTGTTTCTTGTTCTCTCACTCTGTCCCTCGAGAGAGAAAGAGAGAGAGAAGGAAAGAAAGAAAAATAAAAGCAATTCTTAAAAAAAAAAAAAAGAAGAAGAAGAAGAAGAAGAAGAAAAGAAAGAAAAAGAAAGAAAGAAATGTGTCCAGTCTGGGGGTCTGGAAGGGTACTTTACCAGGGGTAGGGTAGTCCATAGGCCCAGCCCAGGCTTCCCTTCCAATGCCCAGAGGAAGTCTCTCCGGGAGCGCTGGCTGATGGATGGAGCAGCCGAGGGGCCTGAGCGGCCCGAGGACCCCACCTTGAACGACCCCCAGTCCCCGGAGGGCCAGGCTCAGGCCCGAATCCAGAACTTGGAAGACAGCTTGTTCACGTGAGTGGGGACCGGCCAGCCCCGCCCTAGTCCAGCAAAGCCTCCTGGGCGCACTGGGGGAGTGGGTGCACTGAGTCTGGGGGTCCCCTCGAGCCTGGGGTCCCAGCTCCTAGCAGCCTCCTGTCTTCCCCAGACTCCAGTCCCAGCTGCAGCTGCTACAGAGCGCTTCGACAGGTGCCCAGCACAAGCCCTCGGGCCGGCCCACCTGGCGCCGACAGGTGATTGGGTTGGTGGCGGGGTGGGCGTGGCCAGGGTGGGCGTGGGCGGGGAGCCACAGTCAGGACGTTGGACAGAGGCGTGGTCCTCTCCTGGTGCCTCTTAGCCACTACGTCTGCGTTCAAATCCACCTAAAACGTACTTCTTTTTCTTTTTTTTTTTTTAATAATAATTTATTGTATTTTATTTATACATTCACTTATTTCTTAATCTGACCAGAAAGAGACAGAGGGTGAGAGTGAGAGAGAGAGGAAGTGAGAAAGCAAGCCACCAGATTCAGGACCTGAACCCTGGTCAGCCATGTGGGAGTGTGCAGCGCCTTAACCACCATGCCACCTGCTGGTCCCCGACGTACTTCTTTTTCTTTTAAATTAGTTTTGGGACCAGCAGTTAGCGTAATGGCTATGTCGCTGGACTGCCATGTAGTCGGCTGCGGTTCGCGTCCCGGACCAGGTGGCTTAAAACTCATGCCGGGCGTGTGGGCGTGCGTGCCCAAGATCCCGAGAGGAGAATGGAGGAGAAGGGATTGTGGTGTGACCATCCTCCCTGGGGGGTGATTTCCTGCTTTCTGTCTCTCTGTCTGTCTCTGTCTTGTCTGGCAAGTGCACGGGCCCTATAGCAAAAACCTCTTAAAAAAAAAAAAGGTAGTTTTTATATGTGGTCCTTTTGAAAGGAATTTTTATTTTGTCCTATTATTATTATTATTTAAACATTTGACCAGAGGGGACCAGCAGTTGGTGTAATGGCTATGTCGCTGGACTCCCACGTAGTCGACCATGGTTCGAGTCCCACAGGGCGCGTGTGCGTGCGTGCCCATGATCCCGAGAGGAGAATGGAGGAGAAGGGGTTACGGCATGGCCATCCCCCCTGGGGGGTGATTTCTCGCTTTCTGTCTCTCTGTCTTTCTGATGAGTGCACACATCCTATAATAAAAACCTCCCCCCCAAAAAAAACCTTAAAATTTGCCATTGGGTGTGTGGGCTTCCCAGAGAAAGACAGAGAGAGAGGAAAAGTGAGAAATCACCCCCCAGGGGGGATGGCCACACTGTAGTCCCTTCTCCTCCATTCTCCTCTCGGGATCTTGGGCATGCACGCACACGGCGTTGAGTTTAACTGGGTCCGGGACTCGAACTGCAGTCCACTACATGGGAGTCCGGCACATAGCCATTATGCTAACTGCTGGTCTCATATGTATTTGTGTTTATGTGCATTGGGCTGTAAATGACAATAGCAAAAAGCCTAAGGGGGAACCAGCAGGTGGCGTGGTGGTTAAGGTGCTGGACACTCCCACATGGTTGACTGCAGTTCAAGTCCCGGACCTGGTGGCTTGCTTTCTCACTTTCTCTCTCTCTCTCTCTCTCGTTAAATTAGAATGAATGAATGAATAAAATTAAATAAATAATTCTTTTTAAAAAGTACTTAAAAAACAAACACCTAAGGGCCCACGGCGACTTCGGTAGCTGGTAGAGTAGACCCTTAATACAGAGCTGGCTGCATGAACACGGTGCTGACGAAGCACCTACTGTGTGCAAGGCCCTGGAACAGAGGGGCTAAGACAGGTGAGGACGGCTAAGGTGTAATGTGGAATTTGGGGGGCTAGCAGGCAGCCTGGTGGTTAAAGGTACCTGAGTGAAGGAGGACAGGGAATTCATGGAGCTGGTCTGGGAAGGGGTGAGGGGGCAGCAATTCCACAGCCACTGAGGAGACTGCAGAGACTCCCCCATGGCTGACTGTGGTTCGAATCCCAGACCTGGCAGCTTGCTTTCTCACTTTCCCTCTCTCTCTTTCTGTCTCTCTCCGATCAAATTTAAAAATAATAATCAAGTTAAATAAAATAATTCTTTTTTTTTTAAATGTGGGGACCAGCAGTTGGCGTAATGGCTATGTCGCTGGACTCCTATGTAGTCAAGCGCGGTTCGAGTCCCGGACCTGGTGGCTTAAACTCATGCCAGGCGCGTGTGCGTGCGTGCCCAAGATCCCGAGAGGAGAATGGAGGAGAAGGGATTGCGGCGTGGCCATCCCCCCTGGGGGGTGATTTCTCGCTTTCTGTCTCTCTGTCTGTCTCTGTCTTTCTGGCGAGTGCATGTGCCCTATAGCAAAAACCTCTCCAAACAAACAAAAGTGGAATTTGGTCCTGAAGCAATAGGGAGCCATGGAGGGTGTTTGAGCAGGGGTGGGGATACTGGCGGTGGGGAGGAGATCTGACCGAGCTTTGTCGTTGTTGCAGGGTCAGCGTCCTCTCTCCCAGCCCATCGAGGAGGCGGGGCATGCAGGTGGGTGTTGGAACCCTTGGGTCTGAGAGCCAGGTCACCCTCACATCGGGCGAGGATGGGGGTCATCTTGGTCCCTCCTCATGCTCTTCCTCTCCTCTCCTCTCCTAGGCCACACTGATGTGGACAAGAGGTCCTCCCTGCCGGCCCATCCAGTGTCCCCAGAGTCCCCGTCTGAGCCTGGGCAGGAGGCCATTGGGGTTCTGCCAACCTCGAGGCAGGTCCCCGGGGCGGTAGGGGCCGCCTCAGAAGCCAATGGCCCTTACTCCGGTCCCAGCTGCGCTCCACAGGAGGAACCGAGTCAGAGGGGGGTGGGGGACGCCAAAGCGGGGGACGTGGTGGAGGTGGTGTGGGAGGGGCTGAGGGCCACGGAGGACTGTGCTGTGATGGCCACAGGCCCAGAGCTCGAGGCCAAGGTGGAGGAGGTGGTTCTGGAGGCCATCGGGGCCCGGCAGGGGGCCAGCAGCCCGGAGCTCCCGGCGTGGGTGAAGGACGACAGGGAAATCGTGGAGGTGGTCTGGGAAGGGGTTGGGGGTGGCGACTCCACGGCCACCGAGGAGGCTGCAGGGACCGGCTCTCCAAGGCTCCAGGAGGGCCAGGAAGAAGTGGCTTCCAGAGAGGAGAAAGATGCCCCCCGGGGCAGCCCCGAGGGAGAGGGACAGGGGGGCTCCGGAGGCGAGGAGGGGTCCTTCATCTGGGTGGAACGGGTGACCCTGAGCGAGGACTGGGAAGAGCTGCTGGTCGAGGGGCCCACAGAGGCAGGGAGGGAGGGAGGAGGTGAGGAGACCTGGGAAGAAGAGAGGAGAAAAGCAGAAGAGTCCACGGGAATAGGGGAGAAGGGAAGTGAGGGAGAGGCAGGAGCAGAGGGAGACAGAGCAGAGATGACGGCGCAGGCGCAGGCCGTGGAGAGGCGCGGAGGGGAGCCGCGGAGGGAGACAGAGAGCAGAGGAGGTGAGGACAGGCTGGCGACAGAGCAGACAGGGGCCGAGGAGGCGCTGGGATTAGAGAGAAAAGACACTGAGGGACCTTTGAGGGCAGAGGAAGAAAGAGCAGAAGAAAAAGTAGGAATGGAAAAGGAGGTTGAGAGACTCTTAGGAGTAGAGAATTTAGGCGAGGGAAATCAAGAGGTGGTGAGAAAAGGGGAGGAGCCACTGGAATTAGAGAGGAAAGAAATTGAGGGGCCTTTGGGGGCAGAGAGGGACAGAGAAGAGGAAAAACTAGAAGCAGAGAAAGAGGAAGTCAATGCAGGAGTCGACAGGAAAGAAGGTGATGGTGAGAAAGAGGCAACCGAAAAATCATTGGTGACGAAGAGAAATGGAGGTGAGGGGAAGGAGGAGGAAGAGAAGACCCAGGGGGTAGGGGAGGATCTGCATGCTGAACAACCCAGAGAGTCAGGGGGAGAAATGGAACCCCAGGCAGAGGAGGTGAGCAAGACTGATGAGGAGTCAAAGCCAGAGGAAGAAAGACTACAACCCTCAGACAAGCAGGAGGGCTCCCTAGAGGAGGAGGTAAATTCCCAAACTCCTGCTGAGGGCCAGGGGGACGCCACACCCCTCCTAGCTGAGATCCCAGCCCCAGGGCAGCCTGCGGAGTGCCAGCCACTGCTTCAGAGGGAGGGATCCAGCGCCAACCCCAGTGCCCACCCCGCGCCCACCTACGCCCCTGCCCGACAGCCTGAGCCATCGGCCCCCGCCGAGGGCGAAGAGGCAAGCGGCCCGAAACAGAAGACGTGCCAGTGTTGTGTGGTGATGTGAGCCTGCACCCTCCACCCACGCCCAGCTCCTCATAGCTACCTCGGCCTCTTGGCATCCAGCGGAGGGTCCCAGGCTCACACCGGGCACCACGAGCCTGGCCGTGACACCCAGGAGCCAGCTGGCCCGCACGTCCACCTGTGCCTGGGCTTCCGGACCCTTGGTCCACTGCCTGCAACCCTGGCCCCTTTGCAATGACGCCTTTATACTTGAAAATAAAACCTCAAAGCACTCGGACAGCTGGGTGGGTGTGTTCTTGGTACAGAAGCGGCATCACCTCCTGGTGGGAAATTGAAGGTTAAACTGGCCCAGCAGGTGGCGTGGTGGTGAAGGCATTGGACTCCCACATAGTCGACCAGGGTTCGAATCCCAGACCTGCCTAACTTTCTCACTTGCCTTCTCTCTCTCTTTCTCAAACCAGCAGGTGGGCTAATAGTTACATCTCTGGACTCCCACATGGCCAGCTGTTGTTTCAGTCCCGCGTGCATGCATGCCCAAAATCCCGAGAGGTGAAGGGATTGTGGTGTGGCCATCCCCCCTGGGGAATGGTTTCTCACTCTCTGTCTCTCTGGTGGCGAACACATGTATCCTATAAACAAACTAACTCGGGACCAGCAGTTAGCGAAATGGCTATGTTGCTGAACTCCCATATAGTCGACCACAGTTCGAGTCCCAGACCCAGTGGTTTAAACTCACACTGGACGCCTGTGTGTGCGTGCCCAAGATCCTGAGAGGAGAATGGAGGAGAAGGGATTGCAGCGTGGCCATCCCCCAGGGGGTGATTTCTCACTTTCCCTCTCTCTGTCTCCCTTCAGCATGTGCCTCCTATGACAAAAACAACCTAAAAACAAAAAAGAGATTAGGAATCAGTGAGACTAAGTTGCTGTAACAAAAAGAACTCCAGCTACAATAGTTATAAAAACAGAAAAGTGGGACCAGCAGGTGGCATGATGGTTAAGGCACTGGACTCCCACATGGCTGACCAAGGTTTGAGTCCTGGACCTGGCGGCTTGCTTTCTCACTTTCTCTTTCTCTCGCCCTGTGTTTCTCTGGTCAAATTAAAAAATTAATAACAAATTATTTATTTATTTATTTTGAGAGGTTTTTGCTACCGGGGCGCGTGCACTCGCCAAAAAGACAGACAGTAAGCGAGAAATCACCCCCCAGGGGGATGGCCTTGCCACAATCCCTTCTCCATTCTCCTCTTGGAATCTTGGGCATGCATGCACGCGCACCCGGTGTGAATCTAAGCCACCGGGCCCGGGACTTGAACCGCAGTCAACTACATGGGAATCCAGTGACATAGCCATTACGACAACTGCTGGTCCCAATAACAAATAAAATAAAATAAATATAAACCAAAAAAAAAAAGTTTATTTCTCTAGGCAGCTCTGATCCATGGGGTCATTCAGGGATCCACTTTTCATTTCTCTCCCCACTTCCTACTTGGGGCTAACCAAAGCTGTCATAGTACGGGTATATTCCAGGAAAGGGAGGAGCGTGTGGAGAAGCCCCCACTCTGTCCTGTAAGGTCTACACAGACCCCGCAGCGGTACACATGTTCCTTTTGCCCATATTCGTTGTCAAGAACTCAGTCCACCCAGCTGCAAGGGAGGCTGGGACTATGCCCAAGTGCAGTTCTGTTACAGCAGAAGGACAGGTTTTGCCAGACAGCTGTCACTCACATTTTCATTTATTTCTCTTCAGTCTCTTATCCATCCGTGTACTCCCTACTGGGGTCAGGCCCTTCTCTGTAGGGAGTTCTTCCATCCCAGTTCTTCAGGGCTGGGTGTCCTCAGGAAAGTGACTCAGCCTCTCTGAGCCTCAGTGTTTGCATCTGTCGAGACAGCCAGTCCAGGGCTGGGGTGCATCCTGTGTGACCACAGTTGTAGCCTGGTTTGCAGCCCCCAGGCTGGGGTAAGGTTCAGGCTAGAACCTGCAGCCTGTGGGGTTCCAGAAGGCCCAGCTCCTCGGCTGTGGGCAGGAAGTGTTTCTCATATCCAGAGTCGATTGGAGTGGCAGCCCTGGGGTCCTCGGTCACCGGCTGTGGCTCTATCTCTTCTACTTCCAGGATAGGTGAGTCCTGGGGGGGCTGGACCTGGGGCACGTCCTGAGAAGAAAAATGCCTGAGCTCCTGCCCCGGGCCTCACCCAGTCCCCATGGCCCAGAATTTCTCAGCCACCCACAGGGCCCTGACAACAAGCTGTTTGTTGCTGTTTTTGTTTTTGTTTTTGTTGCTCACCTCCACGTGGGGCTGGCTAAAACTGCTGTTGGCGGGATCAGGAACCTTCTCCCAGACCCAGCGGGGCAGGACCTTGTGCCACAGCGGGAGGGACCTGGGATACAGGCAGGAGTCAGAGCAGGGAGTCCCCGAGGCGTCTGGAGGCTTCCCTCCGACACCAGCTGCAAGCTAAACAGACACCCAGCCCTGCCCTCTGTCCCACCTGGGACCTCAGTATGGGACATTCTTACCTTCCCGAGGTGGCCAGGCTCAGGCCACAGCCCAGTAGGAACACGCCCCACAGGAACAGGACACCGGGCAGGACTTTCCACTGCAGGGAGTTATCTAGTGAGCGAGAGGAGAGAGGAGCGGGAGATCCCTTAGGGATGGGGCGGGGCTCGAGGAACAGAGGCTGTAAGTGGGCGGGGCTTGCGAATGCTAGGGACTAAGAATGGGGGTAATCTTGGGGTGGGCGGGGCTAGAGACAGGCTGTAAGTGGGCGGGACTTGGGGATGGTAGGGACGAGGGGT